CCTAGGTTTACAATTTATGATTAAAACTCTACTATCTACACAATATACATAGACATAAAATGTAAAAACTTAAATATCTTAGAAACAGTAGCCAATCAGTTGTTTTAATTGTCATATTTGAATTCAGCACCTCGAAATACATAATAAATAGCACATTTTATCTCTGAAGCAGACAACTTCTCAAAAATTGTAGACCAGTGTAACCAGAGAACATAGCACTGATAACTCCATGATCCAAACTACAGGAGCAGACCTTGCAGCTCAGCCCAGGGCTCGGAGACAGTGAGAAAAGAGACCCAGTGCTCTGGCTCTCGCTAGGACCCGGGAGGCGCCGGGCGGAGCGATTCCCGGGGTCACTCAGTCTGGCAGCAGGAAGTGAATTGCAGTCGCTGCAGTTACTCTGTTGCGGAGAAATCCACGTTCCTTGCAAGACTCCAGGGCCTCGGCTGCTGCCGCTGGGGACCCCAGAGCCCTGGCTGCAGGCGGGGGAAGTTTCCTATCGAGGGAGGAACATTCCCGCTGCTCCCTGAGAGACTCTCCCAGTGCAGAGACCCCAGCCTGTCCCGTCCCCCCCTTACTGGGACCCAGAGCCCTGCTCCCAGGCAGTGCCCCACGTGGAGAGAAGGTGAGACCGGCCCCCACCCCAGGGAGAGACGCTCCCGGTTGCAGCCTGTCTGCAGGGGCAGGGGGATGCCCCAGGCTGCTCTCAGCTGGGCTGGCTGCGATTCCCTGCGTTGGGCAGAGGAAAGATGGCTGCCAGCTCCCATGGTTTGCAGTGAGTGGGGGGGATTGGGGGTGGGACAGTAACATATGAGGAGCCAGAAGGGGGCTGAAGACGGGAAGGGGGATCTGAGAGCCAGAGGGCATTGAGGGGGAACTGGGGTGTGTGAGGGGGCAGAAGGGGGGTGAACAGGGATGCAGTGGGTGGGATGGGGATGTGGGGCTGCTGAAGGGAGGCTGATGGAATACACAGGAATCAATGGGCAGGGGGAGAATTCTGGGGCTCAGGGGTACAGAGCTAGAATAGAAGGAAACTTTGAGTAGGGGGATAAAGGGAAGGAAATGGGGGACTGTGGGGAGGCATGAGAGCAAGCAGAGACTGGCTGGGGAAGGGAGAGCCAGAGGGTAGGGGAAGGGAGGGGGATGGTGAAAGATACAATGGCAGCTCTCCCAGCCTATGGGGTGGGAGAGGGGGCTTTCCTGCCCAGCAGCCAGTGGGGTGGGTGGACAGGGGATTTCCCCCTAAGGGCTCAGAATTTACAAGGCAATACCCCTCCCCCCCCCCCACCCCACACACACACTGCCCCCAATTTAGTCTAACTTTTTAAGACAATGTTGCTATTTGGGAGTCTGACTCCTGAATGTTAAATGTTTGGGTCTGACAGGACTGAACAGGGCCCTGCTCTGATTTCTGTGCAGGATTCTGGGTCAAACAAGAGTCACTGCTAGCAACAGCAAGCAAGGAGTCCAACTGTTTTTATTTTGGTTTGGTTCAGGTTCAGTTGCATTCAGTATGTTCAGTTTCATTTCTGGTTCAAGCCACCCAAAGAAACAAAAATAAAACTTCATGGAGGTAAATTCAGAAAAGAGAGCTGCAGCTTAAAATGGAAACTGTTTTCATTTTTGGCTCTTTATTTATTTTTTAACTTTAACTTTACATGAGTTTTCCTAGTGTTTTTGTGTTGTCAAAAGAACACAATTTTTTTATGCACAATTTGTTTGAGCAACCTAAAATAAGATCTTTGCTTTATAATATTGGATCTCTGCAGTGAAAGGATATATTTGAGGCCTGGAAATTTTATTTTAACACTCACTTGTGTTGCTGGAAGTGCCAGTAGAACTTTTGCTAGTTGATTTAGCTTGGGCATGACATTTTTCAGATGTTCCCAGTAGTTTGCTCTGTTTTCTTTCTTCTTGAGATGTGGCTTATCTGCAAATGAATCAAGAATTGGCCCAATCATTTTTTGGGCTTTCCTTCATCCAGATATCTCTTCCTTTTTGGAAATTTCACAAACTTTAAGAAGTTCCAATTCATCTTTCAGTGTCAGACGTGTCTGACATTGATTCTATGACATCATTATTTCTTACTTCTGACTGAAGTATTTCCATCTTCTTCCATGTTTTGGTGTAATGAATTTTTGCCTTTGTCCTCTGCTGAGAGTGGGGATTGATATCTAGCATCAAGATATATGTATGAAAGAAACATATCTATCTGGGGGTAGGTGTGGGGGGGTTGGAGGAGGGTATCAAATAGTGTCCTGGGAGGGGTGGGGGGGTTGGGAGTGGGCCCTGCAGCTGGCTTCAGTGGGGAAGGGAGTTTGGAGCATGAACCCTGCCTCAAGTGGGGCAACTGGAGGGAGGAGCTGCCCCAGGGGTTGGAGAGGGTGGGAGGAGGCCTGTCTAAGGGGAGAAGGTTGAGGAGCCATTACTTTTGCCCCTGGATTTGAAGAGTTATGAACTTCAGGGCCCAGGGAGCCTCCCACCTCTTCTCTCCTCAGGGGGGCATCTCAGAGGTGGTTCCTCTACCTCTGGTCCCCCCTTCTGCCTTCCATGGTGTGCAAGCAGCTCCCAAGCTTCTCCTCTCCCTCCCTGCGCTTGTGGGCTGGCCCCCTTCTATTCTCATTTTCTTCTCACTATGGGGTAGGCCATTCTGGGAGCCATCACCAGCCCATTGGCTAGTTAGTTTCTTGTCTTAAAATTAAAATAAGATCACTGAATAATTGTTTTATGGAGCTTAAAAAAAATGAATATTTATTTTAACCCCCCCCCCTTTTTTTTTCAGTTCA